AACCAATTAAAATCACAGAAGAACTGGCAGCTTCTATGAAAAATGGGAGGAGATTGTGGGTTGCCAATATTCCAAAAGGTGAGCAATACAGGTTTACAACCAAGAATAATTTATCCTGCATATGAGTATAATCCTATGGGGGGAAATGAAACTTTAATGCAAGAGAGGATTTTCAAGCATTTCTGAGGAAAAGACCAGAGCTGGGTAGGAACTTTGAAATGCAAATAAGATCCAGAGAATTCTAAAAAGGTAAATTAATTTGAGCAAATAGAAGGTGCTGTATGATGGTGTAGTGCTAAAATTCTAACAAGGGAGAAGAAACAAGAATTTCTTCAGAACCTTAGTGTCTTCAAAGGGTATTAAGGGAGCTAAATAAGAAAAAAACAGAGGTCCTAGAGGTGGATTGGTTTTTGAGACAGGAAATAAAAGTGAAGATAAAAGGAACATGTGAGTGGTAAGAGGAAGAATAAGGGAGTGGAACTTGCTATTTCTCATAATTAGGGTTTGTGTAAGAGCATATAAACATGGAGGAGGGGTGGAAGGGCAGCAGATGAACCTCACTCATATAAAATGGGGAAGAAAAGAGAAAAGGGAGAAAGAAAAAAGCATGTATATAGCACCTACTATATACCAGGCACTGTGCTAAACACTTTTCAAAATAAATGCTATCTTATTTAATCCTCACAACCCTGCATTCGAGGTAGGTCCTATTATCCCCATTTTATAATTAAAGAAACTGAGATAAACAAAAGTTGAGTGACTTGCCCAGGACCACACAGCTAGGAAGTATCTGAGGCTGGATTTGAACTCTGGCCTCCTGACTCCAGGCCCAGTGTTCTATATCCACAGTGTCTCTAATGGACAAAGAAAAGCTGAGTTCTGTGTAGAAATACATCAAACGTAACAGGGAAGGGATGAATTTAATAGGAAGGATAATACTGGGGAGAAACTAGCCATAAGCAAAACAACCTCTGATTCTGAAAGGAGGACTCAAAGAAGAAAGAGAAAAAAAAGTAAAACACTAGAATGTAAATGGGTGCTTGGGTTGTCTCTCAATTAGGGAATAGCTCAACAAATTGTTGTATATGAATGAAATAGTGTTGTACTATAACAAACGATGAGACAATTTCAGAGAATCTTGTGTAGTGTGAACTTAACATTGAGTGAAACGAACAGAACCAGATGGACAATTTAGAGAAGGATAACAGCACCATGAAGAAAACCAACTTGAAAGACTTAAGAACTCTCTGAATGCAGATAGAAACATACTTCTTAAACTTTATTATTCATATTTGGTTGGGGTTTTTTTTGCGTTTGAGTTTTTTTTTCTTCAATATGGCTAATATGGAAATGTTTTGCATGACTGCACATGTATAATCTGTATCAAATTGCTTGCTTTCTCAAGAAGAGGAGAGAGGGAGAGAATTTGAAACTCAAAATTTTAAAAAATAAATGTTAAAAAATTTTGTTTACATGTAATTGAGAAAAAATAATTAAATGTAAAAAAAAATAAAACCACTCTGATAAATGTCTCCAGAGAAGGACCCATGATGAAGCATGTTGCCCACTTTCTTACACAGAGCTGATAGACTCATTGCACAAAAATAGACATAAATTTGTAAACACAGCCACCACAGATTTGTTCTTTGCTTGATTATGTCTGTTACAAGATTTCTCCCCACCCCCTTTCTCTTTCTCATTTTTTAATAGAAGGGGGCAGGGAAGGTAAGATTAACAATAGTGATGCCAAAAAAGAGTCACTGAATTTTTTTTAAATGCAAAAAAAAAAAAAGCAAGTTCAGAAGAAAGCTTGAAACTAATGTATGGAATGTATATGTGCATTTTTAAAAAAGCAAGTGACATAAAAAGGAGATTCACAGTTGCATATAGACTTGTTTTTTGTTTTAAGTTCAAAACAATATTGTGTTTGTCCTTCGTTTTCAAAGAGGACCATGACATCAGGGAGATGATGACATGACTTGCAATTGACTTTGATTTGAATGAGGAAGGTCACCAGCCTTACTTTCTCCTCCAGAGTCATCTGGGTCCAGTGGCCAGATATTCATCAGGACGACTGGAGATGGCCCAGGATGCAATGGGAGACCCTGGACCTTTTAAGCTAAGGTCCTTTCAGGTTGTCACTTAAAAAGAAAACCACTGGAATGAGGGATGTTGTATAGGATATACTGGTTTGATTGAGCAGATTTGGTTGTTCCTTGTAGCCTTTGTACAAAATAACCAATTACAGAATCTAGCAATCTGAGTGCCTGGCAATGACTAGAATCATTCCAGTCAAATCCTTGAGAAGGTATCACTAGTGATGGAGAAGAAAGGCCCTGGCTATAGCTTCAGTCTCCTTACAACCCCATCCTTGTCTGAAGGAGGACCGTGAGCTTTGGAGGATTGGAGAATTTTGTGGGGTTTTTTTCATGTGTGTGTATGGGGCAGGGGTGGTGATGTTGGCAATCTAGCAGTATTCCTGGAATAGCATTGACTGACAGCAACACTGGTGCTGGGAGCTAGGAATAAACTGGACAAAACTGAGGAAACTCAGGACTCTACCAGGGGCCCAGCAGAAAGCTACACACAACATAACTTCAAGAGCGTGCTCACAAAGGGAGAAAAGGACATCTAGCAACGAAGAGCCATCAGACTCTCTCCTCACTTCATCCTCTCAATCTTTTTTAATGCTCAAAATCCTCGGTGTAAATCCAGGAGCTGAAATAACATCATCTTTTGCTTTTTTCCCATAAATCACTGACCTAGAACCCTTGTAGATAGGGAGACTGACTAACATTCCAAAGATGTAACTTGCACAAAAGAAAGGTAGGAAGTCAACATGATTAAGTTACTACCCCACCACACCCCCTTTATTCCTTTTCTTACAGATTTGCTATAGAATCACTCCTTTGGAGTAGCATTTTCCACCAAACACAGGAATTGAAATGGGTAGTGGAGCCTGATTATTTTAAAGAAAAAAAAACACATGAACTCAAAAGAAATAGCATGAATTCAAAATGGTACTTCAGTGGGTAGCTAGGTGGCACAGTGTAGAATGCTAAGCCTGGAGTCAGGAAGACTCATTTTCCCAAGTTCAAATTTGGCCTCAGCCACTTACTGGTTGTGTGACCCTGGGCAAGTCACTCAACCTCGTTTATCTCTATTCCTCATCTATAAAACGAGCTGGAGAAGGAAATGGCAAACCACTCCAGTATCTTTGCCAAGAAAAACCCAAATGGGTTCATGAAAAGTAGACACAACTGAAACTTAACAACAACACATAGAGAGGCTAAATTAGAAAATCATTGAAAATTCAATGACATTTTAACTCCTAAAGATTTTTTTTCAGTTGCAAAATTATGCAAGGGCAAGTGGGCAGATCTTCACATTTCCAACACCTGTTTAGCTCGTATCCTTTTCTTACAATAATCAATAACCTACAACACTTCCAAATCTCTCTTAGTAACACATTTCCATGAAAAAGTGTTGTAAAATAATTCACTTTCTTTTAAGTATGATATAATTTTAAGGCCTAATTTAAGCCTTGAGATATAAGCACCCTGCTAATGAGGTTATTAAAAAAATTTGACTGCTACATTCAATCATGACTTTAAAGAGGCATCTAGAGAATACTGGAACTAGCAGAAAGAAAGTTATGAATTTGGTATAGGTGGGTTTACCAATACTCACCCCGCAAACAAATTTGAGTTCAGCAAGAGATTTTATGAGACGTCAGGAGCCAGGGTAACATTTTGTATGACTGTGGGGTTTTGGCTCTACCCCTCAGCCTGCTCTGTGAGGGCTTTAGCTGAAGGAAGTTTGTCATTACATTTCTTTCAAAAGACTGGAACAGAGTGACTGAACAGGTCACCCCAAATTCATAGTTTTTTTCCATGCATAAGAAAGCAGAGGAACTTTTGAGAGACTAGAAGCCTCCATAGGCAAAATGACTATATGGCTGCACTCCATTCCTAATCCCGTATTGCTGTTATGGTACAGCAAAGGAAAAGATGGGACTTTACCTGAAAAATGAGTTGCAACTAAGGATGAAATTCTAAAGAAGGGACTGGATGAGTACAAACCAGGGACCAGAGTGAATGAGACAGGTAAGAGCTGTTAACTACCAACATAGGGAAGCTGGCATGCATTTCTGTGCTAATTTCTAGAAGCTCTTTCTCAGTTTTCTCCAAGTGCTTACTTATTAAGTCCATTCTACCAAATTCCCTAAACCTGCAATCTCTTATGTCTTCATGCTCTGGACATGGAGGATTGAGGGCAGTTCAGTCATTGTTACTATATTCAAACAAATCACCTGGACACTAAAAAGTAAATTATCTAAGACTAGGAATCAGGTTGGTTGGTAACGAATGAGAAGGAAAGACCTTAAAATAGGGTTGGGGGCTTAGAACAGAGATGAAAGGTTTTCCTATCTTGGCAATTTTTGGATATATTCCAGGCTGTACCTTTCAAACTACATAGATTTCAGGTCCAAAAGTGTCACCTAAGATCTCCAGAGAGTTTCAGGCACTAGGTAGAAGCAGTGGTTTACTTGTGTGGTCACTCCCTCACTGGTCAATTAACTGACAACCTATTTTTCTGTAGATTGTTGAAGGTAAAGGAACAAGACAGGCATGGGTGACTATAATTTGGGCAGCACTAAGATACTTGCACATAGCCTACTGTACCCATCACATTAGGAAGCTAGCTTATATTTCTTAGAAGTTTGTGTTATTCTGCATTGATAACACAAGAAATTGATTGGCAATGAAGTGCCAAGAGAATTCCTTTGAATAAATAAGGAAGAATTAAGGGAAATTTCAGAGACCAGACTTAAACCATCTGTTCAACATTTTATGCAGAAGTCATAAAAAATAATCTAAACTGTTTAGGATGAGCATAGATATATGAAAAATCAAGCATATTTATATATAAATTTTTTTGCGCAAACTGATATGCAAGATTAAAATGATCTATAGCTTGAGAATAAGGAGTCATGAACATATTGAAATAACAGTTTAATAGTTTTGAAGTTTTTGTGGTTTTTTTCCCCCCTGTAAAATGGCTTGTACTTCCACAGGTACACAACAGTGAAGAAATAAAGTTTTCAACTTGACATGGTTTATAAAAGATACCTTTTTTTTTTACAAATACTTCCAGACAGCTAACAGCTAGTAATACTGTACATGGCAAACAAACATCATCACTTAATTTCCTTTGTTTCCTGCCGTTTCATTTTATATAAAGACATCTTTCCTTTCAACAATTTTTTGTTTGCTTAGTAGAACTAGGAAAAAAAATGTTTCTCCCTTCTCACCTCTAGTGATACTAATTTCTTCATATAAAACTCCTTTTCTCAAGAGAGTTCAAGTCTTGGTCAATAAAAGTTGGGTAAAAAGTTTCCTTTTGTTACCATGTGTCAGGCATCAGTACCAGGGGTGGGGAACCTGCAGCCTCGAGGCCACATGTGGCCCTCTAAGTCCTCAAGTGTGGCCCTTTGATAGAATCCAAACTTCACCGAACGAATTCCCTTAATAGAATCTGTTCTGTAAAATTTGGACTTAGTGAAAAGGTCACACCCAAGGACCTAGAAGGCCATATGTGGCCTTGAGGCCAGATTCCCCACCCCTGGTATAGACCTTTAGAAGATCACACAGCTATATCACGTCTTTAACTTGAGTTTGAAGGAACAACAATATAACGGAGACCAGTCATTCACTTCGAGCAGCAAATCACTGATCCCTATTCATATGGACATTCCCTGAGCATCCCTCTCCCCAATCCCCCTTTAAGTTTTGAGGGAAAAAAAATTTCCTTGGTTCCCTTATAGTAGTACAAAGTAACTTCAAGAAGTTATGTATCTCTAAGGATGCAGGGGAAAAAAAAACCTCTGTAATTATTTTTATGACCAACTGCTGGCCTATTTTTGCATCCAAATTCATTAGTCTCCCTTAACAGAATCTAGCATTTTTAATGGCTTTCTCCTTTCTCTTCCCCCAGAAATTCTACATGAAACAACTCTATTATGAGGTTATCCATAGGCACTGTGGTACCATAAGTTATGAATTAAAACTGATGATAATGTGTACTACTCTAGGAAACTAAAAGATTTCAATTCTTTTGGACCAGAGTTGAAGAAATGAAAAGTTTACTATTGACTCCTTGGTGGAGCCTTTAGTCCTGTTTTTAAAAAGTTATACCCAAACGCCTTGAGAACATGGATGGTTTCATTTTTTTCCCTACCTTTATAAATAGAGCACAGTACCTTACACATTATAGTCACTAACAATGCTTGATGATGGAAAATGTTGAGGTGTGGTACACATTACAGGGGAAAGCAGAGATTCATAAAAATAACCTCTTAAAATATACTCAGAATACTAGTACTTCATCTACTCTTAACCTCTTTTCAATCATAAACTGATAAAAAAAACTGAAGAAAAAGAGTGTTTTCTACGAAATACATTATTGCTGCCTTTTGAAATGGTATATACTATCCTCTTCATCAGAGGGAATCACTGTGAATCAGGGCTGTGTCTAGGAGGCTCTTTCTGTAACCTCTCAGGAAGAGGCACTGGACAGTAATCTTTACCCCTTCTCTCACTGCAGGTGAAGACAGAATAAATCTTTTTACTCTGAATTTATACAAGCGGCTTCTGGGATCCTACTCCTTAGCTTACTTTCTTCTTTGGCAAGTGAGCAACAAGATTTTCTTTCACTTACCAACTAAATTGCTTTAAAAAAAATTTGAGAAAATTAAACATCAAACAAAAATATAAAGGCAAGCATTTCTGTCACTGACAGTAAAGTACTTCGGCATAAAAATATTTCTCTTTTTATGGACTTCCTCATTCTGCTTCTAAGCGTAACGGGCAGCTCCGAAAAGGAAGAAGGCAAGAGGTAGTAGCACATCTGGGTACAAGGAAAAAATGACTGCAGAGTGACCCAGTTCTGTAAACTGAACATCCTAGCCCTATCCTTAGAGAATGAAACCTCCAAATTTCAAACAAATACTTAATGAGATAAGCTTTGGAAAAGAGTAAGGGGCTTTTTCAGGTTAGTCAATTGCTTTCTGTAGAGTTTCATGAGTTTGAGGACTAGTGATAGAGAATCTGAATCTTAAGGGTCTCTGGACACACTTCTCTCAGAAAAGAAAAATCTGCTCCTTCTGGCTGAAAGACTAGTAAGTCATTTAGTCTGCAGACTGTTTAATAAGCTGAAGAATGTATGTTGCTAACCACATACCAGAAATAGGCTAGTTATAACTCCTTTATCCTCATTCCCCAAACCATGAAACGGTGAAGGGCTGAGCAAACACAGTCCATCCCGAACAACCCACAATGCTGGTGTGAGGCTTGGAACCAGATCAGAGGTCACAGAAGACTCTTGCAGAATAAAAAGGCACTCGTGCTATTATTTTAGGCATGTCCAATTCGTTCTGTTTTTAGCCTTCAGGGAGAGATGAGCAAGATGTACAGAAAGGGATCACTGAGAAAAATGCCATGGGAGGTTTGTGGTGTTCTGAAGCTAAAGCTCCCCACCCCAAACCACAAAGTGTATGGAAGAGTGAGGCTATTTTAAATTGACAAGCTGACATTTTATATAATAAGAATATTAAAAACAGCAGCAAACAAAACCAACACATCTCATCACCCATGAGTAAAGGGAATTAAAATGCTAGGCTTATAGATGAACTACAAAACAATTTACAGTCAAAATATCAACAGGCCAATCAAGTATATATTTATAGATATATACACACACAATATATTAAAGTTATATAAATTATATGTCTATACAAAGGTCTCATGTGTAGCATAAAAAGCTCCAATGGTCAATTTAATAGAAGTTATAGTTTAAAATATTGTTCATTCAGTACATTTTTATTTCTTTTCAGATAGCTATTAATATTCTCCCAAATGAACATTTTCATCCTGGATAGACTGATAGTCTCTAGACTTGTTACCAGAGGTATCACAGAATTATTATTCAGAATTAAAGAAAGCCAACTGAATGGGATGTTGAAGCTCATAAGAAATTCTAAAATAATTATTCCTCAGTAAACACTTATTTTATCTCTGCAGAAGCACCACTGGGTGTTGTGTATATCTAATGATCACATTTAAATTTAGTTTGATTTGCAAACATTTTCCAAACTTACAGTGTTCCTCAAGCTGCAACAGAAGGTGACAGATGGTGTGAAGCAGAGTGAACAAAATCTACTGTTTCATTACAGTGTGAGGTGAGCTTTTCGTTCACAGAATGCTGGATATCTCCAAGTCCAAAAAACATGCAAGAGAGCTTAAAAAAAACCGCCAACTGATCTGCAATCACTTTTTAAACTCAATAAATGACTCCATATCTGCATAAATTTGGTATTATGGTGCCCAAACAATCTCTCCTCCTGCAATAATGCCAAGCTAATGAATTGTGAGAGATGCTACATTTTAATTAATCAAATAGTCCTAGGCATGCAAGGTACATAGCAGGGACAGTGTAAGACTCAAACCAAAAAGTTACGGAGAATTCTCTGTTTATAATGTCAAAAGTCATTCTACAAATGTGCACAAAGCAATTAAATTCTGATAACCAAATTTTAAAAAGCCATTACAACACCTGAATCTTCTTTCTCAACTTTATATGATAAAAAATAGGTCACAAAGTTTCCAATATCAAAACAATTCTCTGTATTAACTGCTTAATGTCACATTTTCATTTCATAACACCATGTATATCATTTGTGTCGAATTCCAATAGAAACAGGGGACAACAAACCATACGTAATCCCTGCAGGCCACATGCTGACTTGGAAAACCACAGGTTTCCATTGCATTTTTATTTATTTTGTTAAATATTTACCAATTACATTTTAATCTAATTCAGGCCACTCTGACGTAGATAACTATCTTGTAGTTAGCAAACATTTCCACACACTGTTTGTAACTCTTGATTTAACATCTTCAAGACAAGCAGAACAGTACTGTGGAAAAAGTGTCACAGGCTTTAGGAGTCTTGAGGCCCTCAGTTCAAATTTTGCCTCTGTCGCTAACTACCTGTATGGCTTGGACAAGACACTTACTTTGTGCCTCAGTTCTCTCCTCTGTGAAGTAAGCAAGTTGGATGAGGCAGCCTCTAAGGTCCTTCACACCTCTAATTCTAGGATCCTAAATACTGACAGTTGCAAAGTAATAGTTAAAAACAACAACAACAACAACAATAAATCTTTTGGTTAAACTCCTAAAAATGAAAAAAGTATTATTTAGAGATTTGTCAAAGTTTACAAGGAAAAAAATTTTGTTAAAAAAAATCCAAGATTAAAATCAAATATGACATTTTAAAATTCAATCACAAACAGATATAACAAACATACTTATCAATCAAGCTTTGATGACTATGCAGCTGTTACAACGCGGCATCACTGACTTCTGTCAAGTGCCAGGCATCTGTCACTGCTGTAACCTCCCTTTTCCCAATCTCTATTAGTACACCCCCTCAACCCCTTTAACATATTATAAAAAAAAATTAAAATCTACAGTTAGTGGTAAAATCTTCACAGTAACTTGTTAAAGTGATATTATTGTAGACACCGTCAGTCAACTGGACCTTGGAAAATTAATTTTACAACGTTTTGTTCCCCAACGAGCTGCGTGGCACAAAAAGGGCAGGCCGCATGAAACGCGTGGGTGCCGTGAGGCAATGGAATCAGGGACCAGTACTTTGCAGACTTCTCTGAACACACGTGTCCACAAGGGGTAAAAGCGTGAGTCGGGGGTCCAGCATCGACATAGAATCCTGCCTCACAGCCAAGCCAAAGGGGCACGTAGGGCCCAACAGTTCTGCACATTGGGCACTCCCTCTCATTGGCTTCTGTATCACTTCGGTGCCCCCAGTTGTGATAGCCATGCACATGACCACAGCTGAGGTATGCCCAAGGCTGCTTCTCTTCTACCACATCTTTCTGATTGATGCTGGGAAATGCCAACGTGTTCAGCCCAACAGGGCACTGTGGTCGTGCAGCATTGATCTCCTGCCGTAGAGCTTCAATGTGCTTTTGAGTTGGAGTGTGAAAGAGACCATCAGCCGTTCTCCACAAAAGGGTTGCTCCGCACAGATCAATGAGGGAGCCATCTTGTAGGACATTGGTCTCATTTTCAACCTATAACAAGGAAAAAAAGAAAAAAACACAAAATATTGTCAGTGGAAGAACTTGAAAGAGTAAAACGCTAACATTCTTCTTACTGAGAAGAAAACAGGAAAAAAAGACTTTTGGAAGTAACGCAGATAAAATTTCAATGGAGAACAAATCTCTTTCGAATTTTTTTCCCTTACGTCATGAGACATTTTCTAACTTATTATGAGAAGGAAATTTTCTGACAATGGATATATAGACAGTTACTTACCATGTGCCAGGCATTATACTGAGCATTAGGGATACAAAGAAAGGTTAAAAAAAAAAAAAAAAACAAGCCCCTGTCTTCAGGTAGCTAATGTTGCAATGGGGAAGACAAACATACAGTGTAATTAGAAGGTAATCAATCTCAAAGGGAGGGCATGAGGTGGGGAGGGGCGTGAGAAGGGACTGGGAAAAAGCTCCTGCAGAAGCAGGGATTAAAACTGAATCTTGAAGAAAGCCAGGAAAGTGATGAAGTAGAAGTGTGAAGGAGAACATTTCAAAGCAAAAAGGTACAAAGTTGGGAGATGACAGTGTTGTGTTCGAAGTATAATAAGTAAATAAGTCAACAGAGCTAAATCACAGAGTTCATGGAAAGGAGAGAAGTCTAAGAAGACTGAACAGTGGGAAGGGTTTTAAATGTCAAAACAGAGAGTTTTATATTTGCTCCTGGAGGCAAGAGGGACCCATTGGACTACACTGAGTTGGTGAGGGAGGTGATATGTTCAGACTTTGGGAAAGTCTTTAGAAAAATCACCCTGGCAGCTGAGTAGAATATGGATCCAAAACAAAGATTATCTTTATATACAATTATTCATTAAAAATTTTCATTTTGGAAATAACCAGAGAACAAACCCATCCATATTTCATCTATGCTGGCCTGAAGCACAAAATCGGATAAGTGAGTGGCAATACCAGAAACTGTCAAGTAGCCCACATTTATTTATTCACTCACGCAACAAATATTTGCTATGCATCTGTTATGCAAAAGGCATTGCGCAAGGTTCTGTGTGGAGTACAAAGCTGAGTTAAGACATGGCTTCTTCTCTTTACGGCACTTAAGATTTAGTAGGGGAGTTAAGAAGATATGTATATATACATACAAATACATACACACATATATCTATATCTATATATATAAAAATAAAAGGCAGTATATGGTAAGTGACACAGGAAGGAAAAATAAAAAGGAATCCCACTCTGCTTCCTTCCGTGCTGCCAGGGTTCCTAATCCTTAAAAAACCCTCATAAGATTCTACCTTGCCTGACAGCAGTTGTTCTCTATGTCCTTCTCAGCCAAACACCTTGAAAAAGTTACACATACTTGGTGCCACTACTTCTACTACCACTCTCTTCTAATCCTTCCATGATCTGACTTCCAACCTCAACATTGAGCTGATCTGCTCTCTCCAAAGTGACCAGTGATCTCTTAATTGCCAAATCTAATGGTCTGTTCTCAATTCTTAGCCTTCTTGATCTCCCAGCAACATGTGTCAACGCTGACCACCTCCTCTGCAATACTGTCTCTTCTTTGGATTTTCATTTTTCTACTGGTTCTCCTACCTGTTTGACTGTTCCACATTTTCTTTTACTGATTCTTCAACCATGTTACATCCACTACTGTGGGTTCCCAAAAGGTTCTGTCCTGAGCCCTCCTCTCTTTTTTTCTCTCTATTCTCTTCACTGGTGACCTCATCAGTTTTCAAGGGTCCAATTATCATCTCAGTGCAATGATAGCTATATGTATTTTCTGCTCTACTGTCTCTCTTGAGCCTTACTTCTACATCACCAAATGCTTTATGAACATCTTGAGATGGATGTCCCATAGGCATCTAAAATGCAACATGTCCAAAATAGAACTCATCTATTCTTTTTCTCTAAACTTGCTCTTCTTTCAAACTTCCCTATTACTGTCAAGGGCACCATCATCCTTCCAGTAATCCAGGTTTCCAACCTCACTATCATCTTTGACTCCTCTCTAAACTCACTTTACAAATCTAACCAATGGCTACATTTGGATTTTCTTTCTTTACATCTTATGCAAATGTCCCCTCCTCTGTACTCACTCAGCTACTTCCCCACTCAGGTTTTCATCAACTGTTTCCTGGACTATTGCAATAACCTTCTAATTGGACTCTGGCTCAAGTCTCTCTTTACTCTAAAGTATCTTCCACATTGCTGTCAAAGTGATTTTCCTAAAGCACAAGTCTAATCCTTACTCAATATCCTCCATCAGCTCTCTACCTCAAAGATCAAATATAAATTACTTACTTGGCTTGGTCCCTTACTATATTTCCAATTTTTGAATCCCCTTCATACACTATGGTCCATTCCTACTGTACCTGAGATCTTGAAATAATACAACACTTAGTATCCTGAGAAAGCAGAGCCTGGTCCTACTACAAAGTCCAAAGAGGAAGTAAGGCTGGAAGAATGAAAAAACAAGAATTCCATCACAAAGAGCTATTATGGTGACATGGATATCCAACACATAAATCCAAAAGACAACTTTAAAACTCCTAGCTGTAAAGTCTCTAAGAAAAATATAGCTTGTGCACAAATTCAACAAGAATTCCTGGGAGACATGAAGCAAGACTTATAAAAAAAAGAGCTAAAATTATTTCATAAATGAAATGAGAGGGCCAAAGGAAACAATTGGAAAAGAAACTAGAGTTACAGAAAAAAGAATTAGAAATAAAATTAATAGCTCATCCCAAGGAACAAAACCTTTACTTAAGAAACAAATTCTTTGAAAATTAGAATGGACCAAGCAGAATTTAAGAAGAAATTAAAAAGAAAAAAGAGATTGGAAAAAACAGAAGTGCAAAGTTTCTCATATCAAAAGTAAATGAGCTGAAATACAGACTGAGAAAAGGTGATATAACAATCATTGGATTATGTGAAAACCATGAATAAAAAAAAAAAAGCCTAGATTTCATATTTCAAGACATCATGAAAGTAAAGTGCCCAGATCCTTAGAACCAGAGGGCATAGTGAAAATGTAAAGAATCCACTAGTCATTTTCCTCCTCCAAAGAAATTCAAGATAAAAATGCCTAGGAATATTATAGCCAAAAGCCAGAACTTCTAGATCAAACAAAAAACACTACAAGCAGCCAGCAAGAAAGAAGTGAAGTACTGATGAACCACTGTTTAGGATCATAGAAGATTTAGAAGCCATGCCTCTAAAGAAATGGATAACTTAGAATACAATAATCCCCAAGGCAAACAATATAGGCTTGTAACCAGGAATAATATACCCAGCAAAAAACTAAGTACAATCCTACCAGGGAAAAATGGACTTTTAATGAAACAGAGGACGACTTTCAATCATTTCCAATGAAAGGCCAAAGTTGTGTAGAAATTATGAAATAGAAATACAAGAATCAAGAGAAACATAAAAAGATGAGGCTGATGTGTGATGAAGCATTGTTGGTAATGCTGGAGTTGTCATCATCTGTGCTGTTCTACCTTATCATCACTCTCTTCTATTGGGAAATCCACTGTGAACTACAAAGACCTGGCACCACCTACCACATGCAACATCAAGATAATCACTGAGATCTGAAACTCAATCCTTTCAAAGAGAGGGGGACAGATGAAGCCTGGGATTTTGGGCTTTGGGTCTCCACATTTTGTTTTCTTTTTTCTTTATGGTGACAACTTTGGGACGGCTGTTAAAATTTGCTGTTATCATTGTTCTGTGTCTGCTTCATTAATAAAATTTTTCTTTTTTTTCCTCCTTTTGTCCCATTAGTAACCGCCTATACCAGGAAGATTATCCAGGAAAAGTTCTAGAATCACTCAAATACTGGAAGGTCCCCAAGAAGAACCTCAGGATTTTGTCACAACAAGGTGGTATGTAATAGGACCACCAACATTTAGAGTTTCTCCCTTCCTTTGTAACTGGGGCTCAAAGAGGCTACAGAAGTTGGATGGACCAGTGGTTTCAGATTCAAGCTGGGTTTCCCTTACCACAGCTTCCTGACAGATTCTGATCATTACTTCCTATTCACCTAAAGGCATAAAAAGGCCCATCTACTTGGAATCAGGACCTTTCAGATATGGGAAGTGTCTTACCTCCCAATCAAGGCACCATTCATTGCCCCGTTGACCAGATACATTTTTATATTGAGATAAGGGAGAGGCCGTCTCATGCTAAGTGTGAAATCCCTCATTTTTTTATGCTACAGTCAAGTAAACCTCCTTTGTTAACTTTTAAAAAAGCATATGTAAAAATATAGAGATATATACTTTTTATTTAGGGAAATTCATGTAGTCTACACTGGCTGAGTAGAGAGTTCAAATTATATTTGGGACTACATTACAGAGAACCTTGAATTCAAGGCTAAAGTTGTTTTAGATTTAAGACGATCAGTTTTAGGAGTACAAGGACTTTTGATACAATGCAGTTGGATTCCCTTGTTTGATAGATAAGGAAATGCAAGGAAGTGATCTGCTTAAGGTCACCCAGGTAGAGATCAGCAGAGTCACATCTCACCCCATCTGTACTGGTCCTGAATTCACCACTCTACTACCTCTTTTCCATGACTTCTCTGGCTAAGTAAAATGAATGGTGATGGTAGAGATGGGGATGGGGAACGATTGAAGATTTTTGAGTAGGAGAGTGAAATGATAGGTTAATCTGGTGGTGGTGACATTGCAAGAAGTCAAGTCTAAAAGCAGTCAACAGCACAAGCCCAAGGAGATAAGGGTCTGAACTAGAGTGGTGCTAGTTGGCTAACACAGTACAAATGTGGTTTTTTTTTCCCCTCAAAATGCTTAGACACAAGACAAAAGAAAGGAAAGGTCACATTAGCAGCAACATTAAGTACAAACAGAGAGTGCCTTTCCTCTGAAATTACCTCCAATTTTACTTCATATGTACACAGCTGTCTCCATGTCATCTCCCCCATTGGACTGTGAGCTCCCTGAGGGCAAGGGCTGTTTTGGCTTTTCTTCACATCCCTAACACTTAGTAAAGTGCCTGATACATAGTGCTTAATAAATGTTTGCTGACTTAGTAAAAATGGAGTATATAAGAGCTAAAATATAAAAACAACAACAACAAAAAGAAGGTGAAGAAGAAACAAATTCCTTGGTATCATGACTTTAAAGCCTTTTTGAAGAAGATGAGGCTTGAGACAGAATCTGAAGGAAGAACATGAATTCAAGCCTCCTAAGATTCCTGACATCCCCTGCAGCCATCACTGAAGGGAACAACACCTGGAGAAACGGCCTGCCCTCTCAGCCACTATCACCATCAACTGCTGACCAACTGTCACGGTCTGGCAGGTTAAGTCCACGAGCACTGGGAACAGCAGGATCTCCCCAAACACTGGCCTTGCTTCCAGCCGAGACGCAACCTGGCAACAATCTGCAGGGGCTGCAGCTCCAGCTCCTCACATGCCACAGCTACTGAAGACTCAGAAGAGAAAGTTCTCACCATCAAATTCCCTGGCATTACCAAATGATTCAATGAGATTTTATCAATGGGAATGACAGTGATGATGTATTTCCATCTGCTTTGCTACTGCACACTAAGGGCCACTGGGCTTTTCTATCACACTTGCAGCTAAACTAGGGGACTGTCTTGCTTTTCTGTTTGTATCTCCGGCACTCAGCACAGTGCTTTGCACAAAGCGAATGCTTAACAAAAGATTTTCATTCATTCATTCATTCATACACTCTAGTTTATTCTGCTATCCCAATACGGAAATCCATTATTTTAAAATGAAAGTTACATACACATCTATATATGCACACATGCACATGTGTCTACACATATACAAACACACATTTATATACATATACACACACATATCTCTCCTGACCCTGGTTGGGCAAGAAAGAGTCTGTAACTGCTACAGTTCTGCTACATGAAAAGAGAAAAATGACAAACCCATTTGATGATCATTAAGAAATAAAGCCTGATACATCTGAGAGTTGGAAGGAGCCTCAAAGTTCATATCTGTACAAAGATCCCTCCTACATTATCCTTGGCAAATGGTTATCCAGTTTCTGCCTGCAGATCTTTAGTACTGGGGAAATCCCTCTTGAAGTAGACCATTCTGCTTCTAGATAGTAAGAATCATTAGAACGTCTTCCCTCATATCAAACTGAAAGCTGCCTCTCTAACGTCCACTCGTGCTCCTGGTTCTGCCCTCTGGGACCAAACAGACAAAGTCCTTCAAATATCTAGCAGTTAAAAGACAGCATGTCCCCTTAAGTATTCTAATCTTCAAGTAAGGTATTCTCAGTTCCTTCAACTGAACCACAGTTTTGGATTCCTTTCCCCATCTTGGTTGGCCTCCTCTGAATATGTTCCAGCATGTCATATCTTTCTGAAAACATGGCACCCAGAACTGAGCACAGTATTCTAGATGTGATGTGACCAGGTAAAAGTACAGTGATTTAAGTCATTCTGATTCTGGACACTTTCCTCCCTTAGGGTAGTTAAGGACAGCCAATATATCTTCAAGGGAACAGAAGCAAGTATTGGTTCAAATTCATGTAAAACATTCCCCTTTCCCATACAAAAGCAATTCTATGCCTATTGTCACTATCTGTAAAAGAAACATGATTTTTACAATAAGAAAGAATACACTGTAGTGGGCAATATTTGTCTAAGAAAAGATAAAACACTTCCACAATTCTGCATGGTTCAAAATTTCTTTTTTTGCCAGGCAAACAATTGATAAAAACTTTGATATCAGGATCCTGTATTTATAACTGTATAAGACAACAGTGGTTTTAGATTATGGGGTACAAGAGGCAACTAAAATATACGTGTTAATTTGGTTAATTTTAGCATCCTTGAAAGAGATTTAAACATGTCTACATTCTTCTGCTATACGTTTCTATAAAGAAATATCATAATTAACTAGCTAAATGAAGGCAAAATTTGAACTATTAAACTATTCACTAACGTGGGCCCAAACCTCAAAGTAGCTTCTTATATGTATGTTTCAAAAGACTACATTCATCAAGTACAGGCTTGCTTCCATACTTCTATCAGTTTTGTAATGCTAAAAACACACAGATGATGTGTTATTAATATCATTTTCACTGTGATGAATACATTAAATGCTTTGTGTGGCAACAACACATAGCAAACATCCTACTCAGCAGTAAAGAGAATATAAAAAAGTAGGAATGGTTTTACATAGTAAGGACATTATGGACTGTCTAGTGGTATTATAACAAACAAAAGCAGACCATTTTGGCAAATTTGGCTAACACCAGGGTCCAGGAGGTCACCAAACACTTTCCATTTAAGCTGCAAATTTACCTTGACTAGATTACAAATGAAAAGTAATGTCAGAGATCATCAACCAAACCCCTAACCATCAATTTTTATCTGATATTAATAGCAATACAGAGGATTCCGAAGCCACAAAGCAAAACAAGTTGTAGAAATAGTCAGGAACTAATTACGTATGTGTATATGTTTTTGAAGTCCAATGACCCTGTCTATACTGCAGGTTCAGGCAGCTCATGGAAGGAAAAGGGACTGAGAATATATCAACATCTGGATATACCTGTTGATTCTTAATTTTAATTATTGTAGTTTTTTTGGATCCACCATCATTGGAAGGAGGCCTAAGGGAGGTCTGGGTAATGAGGAGGTTTCTAGATAAGGACCACGGAAAGATATTCAAGGGACACTGATCTCCTGGCTATTCCTTGAACATGATAATCCATCCACCAAGTGCAGGCATTTTCACTCTTCATCTCTGCCTGACTTGCCTTCAAGTCACAGTTAAAAGTCCTACTTTGTTCAAAAAACCTTTCCTGTTCCTCCTTAACCCTGGTGCCTTCCCTCTGAGTTTATCTCCAATTTATACAGCATATAGCTTGTTCCTGCCTAGTTGTTTGAATGTTCTCTCCTCCACTAGACTATGAGATCTTTCAGAGCTGAGACTTATCTCAGCTTTTCTTTGTATCCCCAGAACATGGCACAGTGCCTGGCACAAAGCAGGTGCTAAATAAATGCTTGAATCGACTTGATTAAGGAGAAACTGAAATGGGAAGTGGTGAGCCCATACCAGAGTTGACTAGAGGAAAAAAAAGTTTAGGGAGTACCTAAAATCATCAAAATTAAAACAAAAACTGGCAGCAACAGGGAGCACTAATAATGAATCATCACCACCTTGTTTCCTACCATTCAATCACCATACAATTTAGTACATTTTAAGATTAAAACTTTTTTAAATGTTTAGATAAAAAACTAAAAACCAACACTTTAATATGCCAGGCTCAACAGAGGACCACAGGATCATTGATTCAATGAATGTTTATTAAGCACTTATCCAGTATACAAGATACTATGATAGGTGTTATGGGATATTAAGACAAAAAACTGTCTTTGCCCTGAAGAAACACTGGGGAAAACACCAAATACATACACACACACACACACACACACACACACACGGGTATATATACGTAAACACACGTTTATGTATATATACAATGACTGTACACACATACACACATATATTGAATTTCATGGATGACAAGTAACAATCTTCATAATTACTCTTTATAAGATAATATTTCTTTAAAGTTTAACTCACTAGCTTTCCCCTTTGCTGGGCTGATCTTGTTTCTCGCAGTGTATATACATCTCCACAAACTGAAATTTCACGCCATACTCCTGGTTTGGACTCTTCTGTGAATCCTCCTTTAGGATGCATTACTAGAACACCATTTGTAGTTAGTCCATCCATGTGACCATCAGGATTCTTCCATTTTGCTGCCTTTTCCTGTGTAATATACATATCACATCATTGGGAAAGAAAATCAACTACTTTAAAAGTACATGGGTTCTGGTTATACAACCCCCCTCCCCAGTTCAGTTCTTATTTTGTGTCTATGGTTAAATAGTCAGTAACATGCTAAAAAAATAATCAATTTAACCTGAGCATTAGAGAAAACAAAGTGGACAAATGGTTTGTCTAGTCCATAACCAAACTCCGACTACTCACTACTTTCATTTTAGGATCTCAAAATCCTTAACATATAATCATTATTAATTATCTTGGGAGATAGCAAAATAGGAAGAGAACAAACATAATTCTCCTTTTCAGAAGAGAAAACTAAGGCATGGATAATTAGTTAAAATTTTTAATTAGTGGCAACTGAATTCTTAAATGCTTTGAGTTCTAAAAATATGATCCTATCACCTGGGTCACAATTCTTTCCTTTAAACCAAAGTTAGCTACCCCGAAGACCACAGGTACAAATGCCTTTGATACAATAGGAACTACATGAACACTTCAGCTATGTGCAAGGGGAAGTATGCTATACTCCATATCATATTCATTAATACTTAACAATTTCTTTGAAATAAACTCTATCTTTATGACCAACCCTTATTAATAGAATTTATTACTATATTTCCCTTTAAGAAAAAATTTACTACTTAAAGAACTAAAACTTTAAAATATAACATGATATTAAGCATATTATTTTATTAATATGACTGCATATTATATGAGACAATCACAGCCGATTCTGATTGCATACAATCCAGGTAGTAATAATACTTACTCCAAGAAAGATGTTTTTGGAAGAATCAAATCCTGCTGCAAAAATCCTTGCTGTATATGGTACATTCCTATCACAGACAATCCTACAGGCAAACCTGGATATGGTACTTTGTGTGATCTGGGTTTCATCACTGTTTTGACTGCCAGAAATTGTGTCAGTTACCACAAAGTCTATTGGGCTCTCTGTTGATCTTCCCACCTTAAAGAAATGAAATATACCTTAAGACTCATTTATTTTCCATGAGCTTCCTATTCTGACTACCATAGGTCAAATAAATGAAACATTATTATACAATGCATTTCTCAGATTCTCAAGTTACCTTTAATAATTACAAACTCTACTTTGAAGTAACATAAGGTATAAGGTTAGGTAACCTCGAGGTATACATAAATACATACACACACATATATGTTCCAAAACATCAGCTACCTTTAACTAATTTTAACTAATTTCAACATAGTGCTAAGCTAGCAGATTTTTTATATCAAAATAGATTTATAAAAGCATGGTGTAGAAAGAACGCTGGATTTGGATTAGGAGACCATGGCTGAAATTGTAACTTTGCTTTTATAACCTAAGTAATACTGGACAAGTCACTTAGATTCTGTGGGCCTCAGTTTCTTCACCTGCAAAATTAAAGGGTTGGTCATCCCTTCCAACTTCTATCTCTCCTTTTTTGAAAGTCAGATGTCAGCTTAAAAAGGTTGCCTATATTAATGTTACAAATCTCAAAGAACAATGTAAATAGCAATTTTTTTTAAAGGGGGTTAATTTTTAAAATGTTTGACTGTTCTAGACCACAGACCTATGAAAAATATTTCTTTGACTCTTTACCCTCAAATCAAGTCTAGGAAGAGAAGGAAGAAAGACACTGTTCAATTAACCAATCAAATCAATCAACAAGACTTTTTTTAAAGGCTCACTACATGCCAGGCACTGTGCTAAGTTCTGGGGGATACAAAATACAATAAATGAACCAATTCCCACTCAAAATCTCTTAAGGCAACACTTTATTACACGATACTCTGCCCGATGTCCAACACTGACCTGGCTTCCTTCCAAATTTCCTGTTGTAGGAATCATAATACAAGAAAGCAAAGACTGACAAAATTTGTTATGGCCCATTAGCAATTATCATCATCACCCTGCTAGAATGTGAGGGTAGAGAGTCTGTTTTAGCATAAAAACAAACAGTAGCTAGAGTAATGCTCTGCTATTTTAAGTCCAATCTAATGTCTTAAGTTCACTAATTTTTTTTTATTTTTAATTTATGGAATAAAACAAGCATTTCCATAACATAGTACAATAAAAAGATGATGGTACATGAAACTGCAAATCTACTATGCACAACGTACTATTGCTTTCAAATATACAACAAAATTATCGTGTAAATTTATTTTTTCTTCCTTTCCCCCTCCGAGAGATGGCTACCATTAGACACAAATAAGTATATGTAAAATTATTCTACAGATACTTCTATTTATCAGTTCTTTCTCTGGATGCAGATAGTGTCTTTCTTCATATGTCCTTTATAGTCAATTTGTGTATTTATAATGGACAAAATAATTTAATTGCTCAAAGCTGTTCTTAAAACAATATTGTTATTACTGTATACAATGTTCCCTTGAATCTGCTCATTTCACTTTTCAGTATTTCATGCAAGTCTTTCCATATTTTTCTAAAATCATTGAGTTCATAATTTTTTATAGCACAGTAGTATTCCACCACAATTATAAACCACAACTTGTTCAGCCATTCCCCAATTGATGGGCATCCCTGCAATTTCCAGTTCTTTGCCACCACCTAGAGAGTGTTATAAATACTTAAAAATACATAGATTCTTTCCCTTTTTCCCTAATCATCTTTGTAAAGAGACCAAGTGGTAGTATTGCTGGATCAAAGAGTACAGGTAGTTTACTAACTCTTTGGGCATAATTTCAGTTTGCTCCCCAGAACGGCTGGATCAGTTCATAATCCCACCAACAATGAATTAGTGTCCGAGTTTTTCCACATCCTCTCCAACATTTGTCATTTTTCCCTTCTATCATTTTAGACAATCTGGCTTACTGCATCACCTAGAACTGGAAGTCTGGAACATGCATGAATAAATGCATGAAGACACCAAATTAACAGACCAAACAACCAGAATCAAGCAGTTCTTGTCCAACTGCATATGCAGTTAGTTTACAAAAGTTGTCATTCCGTTATCATCTAAATCCGGTCTACCTAGAGAAGTCACTTCACTTTATGTCTGAGAAACCTCACTGTGCGTTGTTTTGCCAAAGTAAAATTCCTTTTTTGATCATCTATTTACAGGTCAGTATGGAAAACCCATATGGAAAACACTTAAGAGCTTGCTCTTTCTTTCAACTATTAAATCTATGCCATATTACTATTTTAAAGCTAAGTCAGAATGTGACTACATACGGAAGCCATGATGAGGAGATGCTCCTCTAACTAGAACCTCGCATTCTGGCAATGAGTCCTTAACACACTGACATCAGGAATGCTTCTAACAAAAAAGGAGAGCACACCTATCGCTTATGTTTTATAAGACCTCATGGTCTTATATGCCACTCCAAGAGTGGCACTGTGGCAAAGGGAACAGAGGGCTAACCTGGAAGGCAGGACAAATTGAATTCAAGTCCATCTCTAACACATACTAGCTTTGGACCACAGGCAAGTAACAGTTCTTCAGTGCCCCGGGACATTTTATTTTTGTTTTAATTCATTTATTTATTTTTAGTTTTCAACATTCACTTCCACAAGATTTTGAGTTCCAAATTTTCTCCCCATCTCTCCCCTCCCCCCACCCCAAGACAGCGTGCATTCCGATTGCCTCTTCCCCCAATCTGCCCTTCCTTCTATCACTCCCCCCACTTCTCTTATCCCCTTCGCCATCTATTTTCCTGCAGGGTATCTCATTTCCCAGTTGCATGTAAAAACAGTTTTTAGCATTTGTTTTTAAAACTTTGAGTTCTAAAAAAAAAATAAATAAATAAAAATCTTTTGAGTTCTAGCAAAAAAAAAAAACCCTTTGAGTTCCAAATTCTCTCCCTTCCTCCCTCCCCACCCACCCTTATTGAGAAAGCAAGCAATTCAACAGAGATCATACATGTGCAGTCATGCAAAACACTTCCCATAACAGTCATGTTGTGAAAGATTAACTCTATTTTCCTCCATCCTATTCTGACTCCCATTTATTCTATTCTCTCCTTTGACCCTGTCCCTCCTCAAAAGTGGCTGCTTCTGATTACCCCCTCTCCCAATCTGCCTTCCCTTCTATCACCCTCCCCCATCCTCTTCCCCCCTACTTTCCTGTAAGGTAAGATAGATTTCCACACTCAATTGAGTGTGTATGTTATTCCCCTCCTTAAGCCAAATCCAATGAGAGTAAGATTCACTCATTCCCTCTCACCTCCTCCCTTTTACCCTCTATTGTAAAAGCTTTTTCTTGCCTCTATTATGTGAGATAATTTACCCCATTCTACCTCTCCCATTCTCCTCCCAGTACATTCCTCTCTCACCCCTTAATTTTCTTTTTTAGATATCATCCCTTTATATTCAATTCACCCTGTGTACTCTATCTATATTCCCTCCAACTACCCTAATAATGAGAAAGGTCTCAAGAGTTACAAATATCATCTTTCCATGTAGGAATGTAAGCAGTTCAACTTTAGTATGTCCCTTATGATTTCTCTTTCCTGTTTACCTTTTCATGCTTCTCTTGAGTCTTATATTTGAAAGTCAATTTTTCTTTTTAGCTCTGGTTTTTTCTCAAGAATGCATTACATTTCTCTACATCATGAATGTCAATATTCCCCCCCTCATTGTTTACACTCAATTTTGCTGGGTAGGTGATTCTTGGTTTTAATCCTAGCTCCTTTAACCTCTGGAATATCATATTCCAAGCCCTCTGATCTCTTAATGCAGAAACGGCTAAATCTTACGTTATCCTGATTGTGTTTCCACCATACTTGAACTGTTTCTTTCTGGCTGTTTGCAATATTTTCTCCTTGACCGGGAACTCTGGAATTTTGGCTATTAATATTCCTAGGAGTTTTCCTTCTGGGATGTCTTTCAGAAGGTAATCAGTGGATTCTTTCAATTTCTATTTTACCCTCTGGTTCTAGGATATCAGGGCAGTTTTCCTTGATAATTTCTTGAAAGATGATGTCTAGGCTCTGTTTTTGATCATGGCTTTTAGGTAGTCCAATAATTTTTAAATTATATTTCCTGGATCTATTTTCCAGGTCAGTTTTTTTCCAATGAGGTATTTCACATTGTCTTCTACCTTTTCATTTTTTTGGTTTTGCTTTATAATTTCTTGATTTCTCATAGAGTTATTAGCTTCCATGTGCTCCATTTTAATTTTTAAGGAATTATTTTCCTCAGTGAATTTTTGGACCTCCTTTTCCATCTGGCCAATTCTGCTTTTTAAGGCATTCTTCTCCTCATTTGCTTTTAGGACCTCTTTTGCCATTTGGTCTTCTTCAAGGTGTTATTTTTTTCAGTATTTTTTTAGGTCTCCTTTAGCAAGCTGTTGACTTGTTTTTCATGATTTTCTTGTATCACTCTCATTTTTCTTCCGAATTTTTCCTTTATTAACTTTTACTTGCTTTCTTTGCGCACACGCACACACACACATTTTGACAGTGTTAGTAACAAAACTGTTCCACCTGTTTGTGCATTAAAAACTACTTATGCTCTTTTGGGGAGGTAAGTTATTAATCACTTTATGCCTCCCACCTTAAGTAGATTTCCTCCCTTGTAAAAATACATAATAGTACAGCAAACAATTTAAAGCGATCTTGTGGTGGCAGTTACTTGAACTGTAGGTGCAGCACCATCATGGAGTTGATTCATCAGTTAGCACTGAAGCTCCTATTTGAGGTAAGTGATAAATATAACAGAAGAGATCTTCAACAATGCCTTCTCAGCCAAAACATAATTTTGAAGGATTTGCAAACCTTAATGATATACCTAATTTGCTAAAAAATTTATCAAACCCATTTCATCCAACATGACTGTTACATTTTTAACATATGAGAATAAAACTACTTTATAATTTTAAAGGTTAAAACTACTGAATAATATTTACATAGCTTCCTGAAGCCTGGTTGGGATGCTACTGCATTTGTATGTGTCCAAACAGACCACTCTTTGCCAGCTACAGTCAGGCAAGAACTCTTAGCTCTTGCCAGAGCTCCCAACTCCTTAATGATGAAAGCTGACAGAAATACCTTTGAACTGTCTATGAACTAGATGAAATTAAAGTTCTTCTTTTAACACTTTTCTTAGGTGTATTCAGAAAACTCTTGCTCCATTCATGCAGTCTGCCCCATATACCCAGATCTACTATTGCTGCAAGTTTCTTCAGGACACAGACTGTCCTGTGCTCTTTGCACATAGCCTCAATACATATTTGCTGAATGATGTAATTAATGGTTCTGTTGTTACCATTCCATGACTGATATGCCAAGGAGATCAAACAGAAGCTAACACAAGATGGGGTATCTCCTAAAGAAATCAGAGTTGAGTAGCCAAGTATCAGACTGATCGCAGGGATCAGGAGGCAGAGTGCTTGATTTCTAGTCAGAGGACACGGGTTTGAGTCTGGCTCCGACAATGGCTGCCACTCTGACCGTGGGCAAGTCACTTCAACTATGGAAGCCTCAGCTGTTTCATGTGTAAAATAAGCAGGTTGGCCTGGATAACCTCCAGTTCCCCTCCAGCTCTAAATCTAATGACATTAGTGTGAAATTATATTTTTATATGTGCCATCAGTGACAAAAGGTACTGTAAACGTAAAGCTTTCACCTAAAATTACAAACAACTGTTTCTGTCGCATTCTGAATTCACAAACCTTAACTCGAATGAGGTAAATCAAATGGATTAGAAATGGAAAGCGATCTCTGAAAGCATCCGAAAAAAAAAGCAAGATCATTATGAAGTTGCGAAAAGATTATGTCAACTGGAAATAAAGACATTTAGTCAATTATTTAATTTTCTTGTTTCTTTTTCTTGTTTTGATTGAAAGGGACATTTTTGGAAGTTCATACTGCATTAGGAATATTAAAGCGAATTCTCTGTGACAGAGTTTGCTTTCCAGTTCCTACTGTCAGCTACTCTAGTTAAATGCTTTGTTGCCATAAACATACCTAGGACAGTCAGTTATAAGAAAAGTACTCAAATCAAAGCAGTTATTCTCCTCCAAAAGACATAAATCATAAATTTTAGAAAGCAGGGCTAGCTCTTTTGGTCTTGTGATTATCAGAGCCAGGGACAGAGGACACATCTACTGCCAGCACAGACTGAAGGTAGAGTCTAGGAGAGAGGCAGAATGGGGGTAGACAGTCAATTTTCCAATTTATCTTGAGTCATGCCATTATAGAATGGTTTCATTTTTGTGTTGAGATGAAATCCATGTTCAAAACCCAAATATTTTGATAACAGAAATTATTTTTAGATTATTTATGACTACTTCTACCTTTGGACATGAGCATAGCTCGACTTCAATTTGAAATTCAGATTCTACATCAAAAAGGAAAAGTGTTGAGAAGAAAAGATATTTAAAATGCTCAAAAACATAAAATGTCCATTGTCAAAAATATAGTTACCTGAAACATATCAGTATCATCATCATGTGTGTATTCCACCACTACTGTCTGATTTCTTGATAAAGTGTAAGAGATACTGTGTTGACTTTTACAGCTGATCACCTAATTGAAAACAAAATTTTAAAAATACATTTTAATTTCAATTTCAATATGCTTACATTATAAAAGTTAATCAACACATATTTATTGCCATGCCTAGTATATAATATGCTGTGAGTGTGATACAAAGAAGTATAAAACACTGGGCTCTCAACGAGATTACAATCCAATGAAGGAATTCAGAGAAGTAGATTTTTATAAACTGATGGAGAATGAATCAGAAGATAAATTTACACTAAAAGACCAACTCTGGTCAATGCAGTGTTCATTTGTGACTTCAGAAGGCTGACGCTGAAGCACAGTTTAACAGAAGTTCTTAAAACATGGTGTAAATCATCTTCACAAATATTTTGTAAAGAAAGAAAAGGAGGAATATGGGGTGGTGGCTATTGGCTGAGATGCAACGTGGTGCTGTGGAAAGAGCATTTCTTTTGGAGTCCTAGGCCCCGAGTTCAAATTTCAGCTTTGTTCCTTACTTGCTACCTCTGTGACTGTGGGGAAGTCACTTTGCCTCCTGGCACATCCAATCTGGTTCAGTTGCTCTTTTTTACTTTGTTTTCTAATTTCGTGTCTTTTCTTCCTCTTCATGTAGCACATTAGAGACCAGTATGTTATCTCTATTGATACTGACAGATACAATAGTTTGTTATAGTAAGTGGCAGATTCTAGACAGTTTTGTGATTTATTTTGATTTTTAAAATGAATTTTATAGCTACAACAGAAAACTCAATAAAGATTTGGGAGGTGAATCCAGATAATAAGCTAACTGAATAATCCATCAAGGGAAATTTGTACATGTTCTATTAGGAAGGCTACAAAAAAGTATATATTTTGACTATCAATGTATGAGTAAAAACTAGATGCAGGGTGTCCCAAAAGTTTTAATGCAGTGCTGCTTTGAAAACTGCACTAGGATTTTTGGAATACTCTGCATAAATTTAGGCCCCAATCAGTGATATATTAGAGTGAATACTGGAGTTAGAGTCAAAAGACCTAGATATGAATCCTAACACGGTCACTTTTGGAAAATTACTTAAATCTCTTGGCACCTTGCTTCTTCACTGGCATAACTATGGAGAGTTTGGACTAGATTTTCTTTTGGCGATTTTCTATCTCTAATCTTCTGTGAAATTTGAATTTTTAACTTGTTAACTATTAACATGAAAAGTGTTAAGCAAAAAACTGTTTCAGCCAGGTCCACATGAGAAAATTAAAATATGGTATATATGATCCACTTAGTTTTCACATCCAGAAAAAGACAGGAGCTTTAAAGTTATTTTAAACACTACAGAATTAGAAGTAACTATCCCTTCTCTATTATGTAATTTAGCTTTATAATCTTATATTAAAACTGTAGATGTATATATAAGTGTGGGGTTGCTTGAATCAAAAGAGCAAAGTCCTTGCCCTCACGGAACTTAACTCTCTACTGGAAAATACAATACATAAGTAAATACAAGACAATTTCAAGAGAGAACACTGACAACTAATAAGGGTCAGGAAAAGTTCCAATTAGGAGGTGGCAACTGAGGAGACTCTGTTTTGGACCACATTTGACTAAGGTTCATGATTGGAATTAAATGAGAGTGTTTACAGACTATCCAAGAGTTCATCAAAGTTCATTAACAAGGACAGGCAAAGGTTATTCAGGAAGGAGACAGCGCTGATTCAGCCAGCCAGAGCTTCCTTCCCTAGCACTTGTCAATGTGGAGGTCTTGAAGAGTCCCTGACGAAGTCACACTGGTCCTTAAACTTTAGATAACAAAGACGCTAGATCAGTGGCTTGAGCAATTAAGTGTTGAGGCTAATAGATGCTACTCCTATGACAGAGGTTAAAGATTTTAAGAGGTGAAGATGAGCAGAGGCAAATTCTTGCACAGAAACATCACGTGCAAAGGCATGGCTATGGAGATGGAATGTCGAGTTTGGGAAATGACAAGGAGGCCATTTTAGAACATAAGGGGATTAGTATAAAATGTGTCTGGAAAGGTAGACTGGAGTCAGATTGTGAAGAGCTTTGAATGCCAACTTGAGATGTCTGTACTTTACTGTAAAGCCTATAAGAGGGAGTCATGGAAGCTTATTGGGCAGGAGAGTAAAAAGGTCAGAATAAGGTCTTATTAGTTTTTAAAGGATGAAATACCAGGTATCAACAATCATATGAAAAACGGCTTAAAATCACTCATATTCAGAGAAACGGAAATTAAAGTAATTCTTGAGGTTTTACCTCACACCTATAAGATTGGTAAAATTGACCAAAAAAAGGGGTTTATGGCTCACTAATGAATTGCTGACAGAGTTCTGAATGAGTCTAGCCATTCTGGAAAGGAATTTGGAATCATGCTGCAAAAGTTATTAAATTGTGCATACCCTTTGACCCATCTATACTACTGCTGACCCTATACCCCCAAAGATATAAAAGAAAGAAGAAAAGAGGAAAGACCCTTAAGTATAAGAATATCTACAGTAACTATTTATAGTAGCCACAAAGTAGAATGAAAGGGAGTTCCCATCCATTGGGGAATACCAAACAAATTATGGTATATGAATGTAATGGAATATTACCATACCATAAGAAATAACAGACCTTTATGAACTGATGCAGTGAAGAAAACAGAACAAAGAACAATTTATACAATAAGACTACACACACACACACACACACACACACACACACACACAATCCAGCTATGAAAGACTTTAGAATTGTGATCAATGCAATAATAAAAATCCATGAGTCCACAGAACAAATGAAACATACCACTCACTCTTGCCAGAAAGGTGATAAGACTCAAAATGCAGAATGAGACATACATTGTTATAAAAGATTTTTCTTTTTTATTGTTCAATGGGTAGGGAGGGACAGGTGGCAGGAGTAGTAGGAGAGAGAGCTAATAAATGCTTGTAAGAATAAAAAAGTTTTTAAAGTTTTACATTAAACCAAGGATCTTAATTAATTGATGGAAGTCACAAAGTCACCAGGGTCACATATGTTTACTGTTATGTCAAGAACCCAGTACTACATATATTTAAATTATCTGGCAAATTAGTTTTCATGGAAATAGCAATTATTAAATTTTAAATAAACCCAAAATTCAATAAACTGATTGTACTAAAATTAATTTTACTAATAATTTTCCAAATTAAAGTTAAAAATAAACATCAGTCATATGACAACCAAGTTAACTAAATCAAAACAGAACCTATACTTCCTATTTTTGTTTTAAGAAAAATATAAGCATTCATGTGACATCAGAGTTTGAGATTCACTCTGCCTCCAACACAATTAAGCAAAACAAATCCTTCACAGACCATTCATTCTGCCATTAACTGGCTAAAGGTCTTCATTATTCCTCTTTTGGGTCATAATAATAAACTTTTAACTGGTCTCCCTGCCTCTGATCTCTTCCTTCTCTAAGCCATTCTTTGGTATGGTTGTTGAAGTAATATTCCTATTATGTAGGTCTGGTCATGCCAGTTCCCTTTTTCAAGATCTTTAAGCAGCTTTCTATTGCCTACAGGATAAAATACAAACTCCTTATTTCTGGCATACCAGAAAAATTGGATGACAGAGAGTTGGTATGGTATTGTGACAATATCACTGGTTTTAGTTAGAAGAGGGGGATTGAATCTCACTGCTGATTCTTATTATCTATGTGAGTATAAGGCAAATAATGAGATCTCTCCAAACCTCAGTTTCTACATCTGTAAAATGAGGATTATATTTACCAACCTCATAAGCACATCATGTATATAAGACTCTTTGTAAAGCATAAAACACTACATAAGCAAGCACCAGCTATTATCAGATTTACTAGCTATTCCCTGAATTTGTTGAACTTTGTCCTGCTTCTTGTGTGGCCCATTCCCTATACCTGGAATGGCTGCTGTGTACATCTCTGTATGTTTAAATCTTTATCTTCCTTTAAGGTTCTGAAGCTTTCCCTGATTATCCAAGTCTTTGTTTTCTCCCCAATATAGCATCTCTCTCTGATTGACCTCTTACCACAGCCTTCTTAAAGGGCTGTAAATTCCTTTGAGGACTGGGACTATTTCTTCATCTCTATAACCATAGCTCATAGATGATTAATTATGTTGTACAAAGTGCTTAATTTAAATGAACTAGGAATTTTATTGTAACTTAACTCAGAAGATTTTCAACATGCTCAACTCAACACGAAGTGAAAGACAGATAGGTATTGCACTTTCTGAGTCGTACATTTTCATTCATTCATCCTCCTTTACTAGTACCATTTACTAATATAATTTCCTTTCCTTGGCACTTGATTATCATATTAAGTGATAAGCAAGTCTTACACTACTTTACTTTCAAATACCTACTTATCTATCAAAACACTCACAGGTATTTTATTGTAAAAGCATCTCGTCAGGAGATTAATGAACTTTCGAAGAAATGTACTCCTCACACAAATAGGACTTGTAAGTCAAAGCAAAAATTACTTTCAGATTTTATGATCACCCAAGAATGCAAATGTCAGAAGGTAATATAATCTTTCTAAGATTTAGTTTTGATATACTTCCTTCATAAATTCTGGGATGGTTATTGAAATGCATTACAACTAATTTAGAACCTTTTCACCAAATGAAATCATCACGGCTCTCTGACCACACAACGAGAACTAGTGACCTAGAACAACAGTCTACAATGTAGGTGCCATGGCCTTAATCCATCAGGGACTGACCCCAAAGGGCATGTGAGCAATCAATCAGTGAGTGGGAAAATAGGTAAATCCCACTTCTCCCACTCATGGCAAATGATGGAGCTTGTCTCCAAAGCAACTATAGATAGATAGATAGATAGATAGATAGATAGATAGATAGATAGATAGATGGATGGATAGATGGATGGATAGATAGATATAGATATAGATATATAGTTACATATAGTTATATCCCCTCAAATTTTCCAAGTCCGTCCACTTTGCTCCCAACATCCCCAATAATAGCACTTGACCCTCAGGGTAATTATAATCTATTTGCTA